GGTGCTGGTTCTTCCTCCCTGGGTGCAGCACTTTGCACTTGTCAGTGTTGAAACCCATCCTGTTCTCATCCACCCACCCCTGTAACCTGTCTAAGTCTGATTGCAGCCTATTCCTCCCTTCTAGCGTGCCCACATCCCCGTGTCATCTGCGAATTTGAACAGGGTGCTTTTTACCTCATCATCCAAGACTAGGCACATTCCAAGTGTGAGACTGTCCTGTATCTTTTAAAGACACAGCATAAAACTTGAAACCCAAGATGGGGCTTTAAGGCAGGTTTGTACTCTTCCACTGTACTCTCAGGAGGTCATCCAATCCAACCCCCTGCTTAAGATGCCTAAACCATCCCCATCAAGTGTCTCTCTAATTTCCAAGGTCTTGACAAATTTGCTGTAGTGTTGCACTTGGGATCAAAAAAGGAATGTAATGAGGTCAAAATAGCATGGAAGAAAGATGGTGGATGATTAAGTGCCAAGCTCAGCCCTGTGGACAGTCACTTTCTTGTTGTATGGGGTTCAGCTTTTGGATCCCATACATTTTAAAGCTGACTAAATCTGAGTACTTTTCAAACATTTGCTTATCATTTGGCCTCTCAGTTGCATTGGCATACTCCACTGGGAATTTTCAATCTTGGAATAGGGGACTTTATAGTCCAGATACCCTATGCCTCATAATTGGTACTGAACTGGTACTGACTTCTCATATATGCCCTGTTTCAGTATTCTTTTCTCATGCTTCACCCTTACGGGACCATGTGAAACAAAAACCAAAACCTATAAGCTTTCCAAAGGCAAATCAAACTAAAACCACTTAACACACAGGAAAAAGAACAAGGGATATACAAATCAAGGGGAACTAACCCATCTACCTTGGTTTCCTCACTTCCACCCAACATGTTTGGTCAAAATATTTCAGGAAATCCAGGATTCTTCTGCAGCCTACTCATTTCTTGTCCCATTTTGTGTTCTGGTTCTGGTCTCCTTCCCCTACTAAAAAGATTTTGTCTCTACCTGTCCTTCTTCAGAGATTTCCCTATTCTTCAATACTCTATGGTTATTATAGACAGAGTCATTACATGTAACAGTTTTTGACAACTGATGTCCTCATTCATATGGAGGAAACAACCACAGTTCCAACATCCCTAAAGCTAAGTCAAGTGCCAGAGACTGTGTTATCAATTGACTGCTCCTGCAGTGAATTGCCCTTGTCCCCCCAAAATAAGTTAGTTCTTTGCATTTCTGTAGCAAGCATCATGTTATAAGTCAAACAGAAGTACATATAGGATTCCTAGAAATAATATAGATGCCTAGGTGCAGGGCTACATTTTTTATGGAATGAGACATAAAGGATATTGTGTCTAAGACATCAGAAAAGAGACTACTGCAATACTTGAAAGGAGTTTATAGTTAGAGTACAAAGATTTCTTCCCCTCCACGGATAGCTTGATTCATAATTGGTCTTAGAAATATATAATTGTAGAAAACTAGGGTTGTAACAGACCTCAGGAGGTCATCTATTCCAATACCCTGCTCAAAGCAGGACGAGCCCCCGTTATACCATTCCCAGCAAAGCTTTGTCTAGCCGGGCCTTAAAACCCTCCAAGGATAGAGATTCCACAATGTCTCTAAGTAACCTGTTCCAGTGCTTTACTACCCTCCTTGTGAGAGACGTTTTCCTAATATTTAATCCAAACTTCCCTTGCTGCAATTTGACACCATTGCTCCTTCTTCTGTTATCTACCACCACTGAGACCGGTTTAGCTCCATCCTCTTTGGAACTACCTTTTAGGTAGTTAAAGGCTGCTATTGAATCCCACTTCAGTTTTCTCTTCTCCAGACTAAACAAGCCCAGTCTCCACAGGCTCTTGTCACACATCTTGTGCCCCACCCACTTAACCATTTCCATTGCCCTCCACTGAACTCTTTCCAATTTTTCCACATCCTTTCTGTAGTAGGGGGCCCAAAACTGGACACAGTACACCAGTTGTGGCCTCACCAGTGCAGAATAGAGGGGAAGAATCACTTCACGCAATCTGCTGGCAATGCTCCTACTAATGCAGCCTGGTATGCTGTTGGCCTTCTTTACAACAAGGGCACACCCCTGGCTCATATTCAGCTTATTGTCCACTGTACCCGCAGGTCCCTTTCTATAGAGCTGCTGCTTAGCCAGTTGGTCCCCAGCCTGTACTCATGCATGTTTTTGTTAGATCCTAAGTGCAGGACGTTTGCACTTCTCCTTATTGAGATTTCTTTTGGTTGAATCCTTCAATTTGTTGAGGTCTCTCTGAATCCTAGCCCTACCCTCCAGTGTATCTCCTACTCCCCACAGCTTCGTGGTATATACAAACTTGCTGAGGGTGCACTCCATCCCATCTTCCAAGTCAATGCTAAAGATATTAAACAAAACAAGTCCCAGGACTGACCCCTGGGGCACTCCACTTGATACCAGCTGCCATAGACATTGAGCCATTGATTACTTCCCTTTGAGCCTGATGATCCAGCCAGTTTTCCATCCACCTTAGAGTCCATTCATCCAACCTGTACTTCCTTAGCTTCCTAGCAAGCATATTGTGGGAGACCATATCAAAATCCTTGCTAAAATCAAGGTATATCATGTCCACTGCTCTTCCCAAATCCACAGAGCCAGTCATCTCATCATAGGAGGCAGTCAGGGTGGTCAGGTATGACTTGCCCTTGGTGTACCCATGCTGATTGTTCCTAATCTCCACCTCCTCCTCCAAGGGCTGAGAAATGTATTCCTTGCAGACCTGCTTCATGATTTTTCTAGGGACTAAGGTGAGGCTGACCAGTCTAGTTCTCTGATTCCTTCTTCTTCCCTTTTTAAAGATTGGCAGTATACTTTCTCTTTTCCAATCATCCAGGACCTCTCCCAACAGCCAAGAGTTTTCAAAGATAATAGCTAGTGGCTCTGTAATCACATTGGCTAACTTCTTCAGTATCCTTGGGTGCATCACATTCAGCCCCATGGACTTGTACACATCCAGCTTTTTTAAATAGTACATAAGCTGTTCTTTTGTCACTGTTGGCTGCTCACCTCCCCAAACTTTATTGTCAGGTGCTGTAGTCTGGGAGCTGACCTTGCCTGTGAAGACTGAGGTGAAAAGGTATTGAATCTTTATTAATTTACGACAGTAACTTGCCTATTTTAAAGCTAAACCTATTGGCAGTGAGAGAACTTGATCAAGAATGAAGCTATTTAGCAGTAATTTAATTTAAGGAGAAATATTCTTTTAGTCAGTTTAGCAACTTAAGAGACTGTTTATTTTGTTCACGTGACTGACCACCACTTTGGGTAGGTATCACATATCCTTTTGTCAGGACTTCTACTTTCTAGAAACAAATCCAAATGCTTAGATGCTCTATTTAGCTTTTTAAGTATAACCTTCAATCATAGAGATAGATATTCAGCATGTCATCCACTTCAGTGATTTTCATTTTAAACCACTTTTGATGTAAAGCTCCATTCATTTTCATTCAAAATCCACTTCAGTAAAAAAGAAAGAAAGAAAGAAAGAAAATAACACAGTACTTGTACTCATAAACTAAATGGTTTATATTCAGTCTTCATAATATTATATGACATCTCTGCCACATTGCTTCTTCCATCTGTATTACATAAGAGCTTTTGAATTCCTTACCAATTTGCTTTATTATTACTTAAGTGCATCTAAATGTCAAATCACAAATTTCCAAGTGCAACTCAAGACAATTAGGTGGAACCAATATTTATGTTGATTATAGAGGGGAAACTAAAGTTAAGCATGAGCAAGAAAGAACATGGAAAGAATGTAATGATCCAAGTTCTTTAACTTCTCCTCTAGGTTATGAACTAGATTGACACAGGCTTGTTCCCAAGGGGCTCCTAGTCTACATTGTGCAAGGGTAGAGTGAAACAAAACAAAATGCAGTTAATAGGCTTGATAAACAAAATAATTTAAATTTAGATCAGAAGAAATGTCAAAAAATGAGCAAATAATATGGCCAGGGACTTTCCATTGATTCTAACTGTAAGTAAATCCATTCTGTTCTCTTTCAGTTGTTTTTAGTAGTTCTATTAATGTGGTTGTAAGTGCCAAGTAGGCCCATAAGACTGGAATTCATGCAATACACAGGTGATGCAAGAGCTTGATATACCATTGCATTTTATTAAGATGGTGCTACCATAAATTAACAAAGTTAGGGCATCAGTGTGCTGGAGAGTTTACTGAGCTTTGGTCACTTTCCAAACATATAAAGCATATAATATAAATCCAGAAAGGGAAAAAAGAAACATTTAGGAGGTAGGTGGCAAAAAAAGATTAAGGAGTTTTTATATGAATGAATCAATATGTAAAAGAGCTGGATGTGTACAAGTCCATGGGGGTGAATGCAGTGCACCTGAGAATGCTGAAGGAGCTAGCCAATGTGATTGCAGAGTCTCTGGCTGTTATATTTGAAAACTCTTGGCTGCTGGGAGAGGTCGCAGATGATTGGAAAAGGCAAAATATAGTGCCCATGTTTAAGAAAGGGAAGGAGGAGGATCTGGAGAACTACAGACTGGTCAGCCTCACCTCAGTCCTTAGAAAAATCATGGAGCAGATCCTCAAGGAATCCATATCTAAGAACCTGGAGGAGGTGGTGGAGATTAGGAACAATCAGCATGGATTCACGAAGGGCAAGTCACGCCTGATCAACCTGGTTGCCTTCTATGACAGATAACTGGGTTCTGTGGATTCAGGAACAGCAGTGGACATGATATACCTTGACTTCAGCAAAGCATGTTATATGGTTTCCTACAACATGCTCGCCAGCAAGCTAAGGAAGTACAGGTTGGATGAAACCACAATTAAAATGAAATGCCTTTTTATATATAGGTATCAATTGAACGCAATGTTTAATTGAGATATATACAATTTTAAAGCCTACCAGTGCTAGGGCTGTGTGAAATTTCACTGCCCGTTTTGTTTCAACAGTGTTAACAAAGTTGAAACAAAACAAGGAGGCTTGAAACAGGGTCGAAACAAAACAGGGCAGGTTGAAATGTTTCAAAAAATTCAAAATGTTTTGAGTTTCAGCTATGAAGCTGAGCTTACCTTTAATGGCTTCCCTGCTGGGAAAGAGAAAGTAAAGTAAGGGGAGGGAGGGGGAGGAGGGGGGAACGTACCGGGGGAAGGAGTGCTCTCATTATTGACATATGTAGCTGGCCAGTGACTGTCACCCCTCCCTGAGGTTCCTTCCAACCCCAGTCCTCTGGGGGAGGGACAGAAAAACTGCATAAAAGGCAGCATTTTTTGAACTGCCCTGCTTTCTCCTTTGGGGTCACTTACTGAGCTGTCTGTTTTAGCAGCTCACCATCAGACCGCTAGGGCTAGCAGCTATGATTTTCTAAAGGATTCCTTGCATGCTACCCTAGCAAGAGGGATTTCAGAATATGTTTTTCTTGTAGGTGCTTTTATTTTATTATTATATTCATCGATTTATTCTTTTGAATTTTATACTTATAATGGATACGGTTACTATAGAATTAACTCTATATAGAAATGTACTATATATATTTGTTTTTATACATTCATTCTTTCCACCACACCAATGCTATTAAGTTTATCTACACAAACAGATATATTTCTGTCAGGTACATAAATCTTGTCATTGCACCACACCTACAGTTTTCAGTTTATATAGGAACACAAATACATTTATATATTTCTTGAAAAGGAAGACTTGAAACACATCATGAAGTGTGATGGAAAGGCAAGTGGCCACACTGGCCAGCCTTCAAGGAGGGATGGAAGAGGAGGTAGAGGTAGAGCTGTAAGTTCCCCTCCCGCCCCCAAAACTGAGAAGCAGCCTCTTTTCTCCAGCTAAAAGGAATGAGGATGCTACAAGCAGCAAGGAGAGGGGAGCAGTGCCACAGCCACTGCCTGTGCCCAAGACTGCATCCTCTCCACACACAGGAACCATAATGCCCCCAACCCCCACCATGATGACAACCACAACCAGCAGCAACAGCACAGCAGCCTACTTCACCCCTATGTCACTTGCCATGCTGAGCCTTCCAGTGACAGAAGAAGAGCTGGCACTGGGTCAGGATCTTAGTGCCCTAGCAAGGGAAATTCTGGGGAGGAAGGGGGAATCAGCCGAGTTTGTGTTTGACAGCCCTCAAGTTTCCCTTTGAGCCAGGTCTCCTTCCCCAGAAGGCACTTCGGAGGATGTTGATGTAGAGGTAGAGGCAAGTGGCTCAGCTGAGTCCTCTCCTCCTCTTGCTATGCCTCTGCCTGCTGAGGAGGGAGAAAGTGCAGCAGCACCCACAGATGCACCTGCACCCCAGAAGAAAGCGGGTAGTGTGGTCTGGGATCATTTTGAGCTGGCAGATGATCCCACATAAGCTATCCTCTTGCAGTGCTGAGCCCAAACCAGCCAGGGCAAGGGAACACAACATATGAGCACCACAGAGATGCTGATGCATCTCCACAGGCACCAGCCCTTTGCTCCTCCTCAGCCTGGCACCAGTGGGAGTGTGCCCAAAGGGAAGTGAACTGGTGCACCAGTCAGGCCATCAGTGGGCTCTCCTTCAAGCTGAGGTGAAGGATGAGTCCCACACAGCAGCAGAGATCATGGGGACCATGAACCACCTAGTGCAGGGTTGGCTCTCTGGGCAGGGCAAGCTTACCCGTGGCTTCATGGTCATCAACAATAGGGCCATTGTGGTCAAGGCGGTCCATCTGCTGTGTGGCACGCAAGTTGTACTTTGCTGTCAGGGACACCTTGGAGGGGGACAGGGCTGCTGGTGATGTTGTTACCAGCAAGCTAATTTCAAAATGCAGGAAGGTGGCAGGCTACTTCCACCAGAGCATCAAGGGGGGCAAGATGCTGCAGGATAAGCAAAAACAGCTGAGTATCCCGCAGCACAAAATCATGCAAGATGTGGAGACTAAGTGGAACTCCACATACCTGATGCTCGAGAGGCTGGTGGAGCAACAGAAGGCCATCCATAAGATGGCTTTGCTCAGGGATATTGGGATCAGTGGCCCCCTGAACAGAGCTGAGTGGGATATCATCTCCCAGATTTTGGTGGTCCTCAAGCCCTTCCTCAAGGCCACCAAGAGCCTCAGTGCTGCTGATGCCTTCCTTAGCCAGGTGATCCCAATAGTGAAGGAACTTCAGAGCCAAATGGAGAGCTTCCAGGGGATCAATGTGACCAGCTGGTGTAGGCCACTGTCACCAGACATGCAGGCATTGGTGAGGCAGCTGAAGGAGGGCATCAGGAAGTGACTTGATCCCTTGCAGTCTAGTACAGTCCATGTGCTGGCTGCCATGTGTGACCCAAGGGTGAAGGGCACTATATGTAGCAGCCAAACACTGAATCAGTGGATGGAGGGGCTGGTAAAGAAAGTCAGGGAGGCAGAATGGTGGAGGCGAGGGGATGTGGAACAGGGGGATCCACTGTCTGTTGCTAGCATGCCATCCATGAGCCAGTCTTGTCCTCCACCACAGGTGCGGCCAATATAGGCTAAGGGCATGGCTTCTATGGTGGGGTCCAGAGCCACCAGACCCCAGCATCAGGCAGGTAGCACTCACACCTTGGTGGCTGCCTATCTTGCCAAGGACATGGAGCCACTGCTGTGCAACCCCTTGGCCTCCTGGGCAAGCTGCAGCCCGGTGTGGCTGGATCTGGCCACAGTTGTCCCGAAACACCTATCTTGTCTACTGACCAGTGTGCTGAGTGAGAGAGTGTTCAGCATCACTGGGGATGTAGTGACACCCCACAGCACCTGCTTGGATGCTGGTTTGGTGGAGCGGCTGGTGTTCCTGAATGTGAACCTCCCACTGCTGGGGTTCCCCAAGCTCCAGGCAGATGGACTAAATGCCACCAGCCTCACTCCATTCACACCTATTTCCTTTTTTTCTTTTTTTAAAAATCAGGTAATGCCAAACTTTCAGCTTGAGGGGGCACTTACTGCATCACCGGCCAACAGGGGAAGAACATGTCCCTGCTGAGTTGGTTCTGCTGCCAGGATGAACTTGGAGGTATGAGATTGGGGCTATGGGGGAAGTAGGAGGCCCCACGTCCTGGGCATGACCACTAAAACTGCACCCTGCCAGGGTAGGGAGGCCTGGTGGGATTGCTGGTGACATAGCAACCCTGTAAATGCCAGGACCAACAATCCCGTAGTGAAAGGTGGGTAGGAGGTGCCAATACCTCCAGCTAACGCACTCATGCACACAGAGTCCTGGCTGGGGAATGCCCAGACCTGTCACGTCTTTGACAGACCTGACACTTGCTGGCTGCAATGCAGTTGTGAGACTCCCAGTGTGCTCAGCTTAGCTGCCCGGGATGCCAACTTTCAGGTTGAAAAGCCCTTTGTCAGGCTGAGGAAGTATGTGCAGTTGGTGTGTCGCCTGGTCCTGGGTGGAAGGAATAGTAAAGAAGCCAGAGGCTGGCTTCTAGCCAGGTACTAGCTTAGCCTGACAAAGGATTTTTCAACCTGAAATCTTCCTAAGAGATATTTCTCTAACCATCCCATTTTTTTCATAACGAACATAGAAACATAAAAACACAAGATAAGACATCACACATGCCAGGAGTAACATATATCCAACACAACATTACTTCTTGTTGTCAATTCCTTTATAACAAGTAAGTCTCTGTGACAGTTCCATTTGGCTACCTTAGATGCTGCTGGTGCTACTGGTGCTATTTCTGTTGAGCCAGCTATGTTATTTTCACCTGCCGTCGTTTACAGTGGTGGACTGGGCCAAGGTTGTATGACCTCATGGGGGTATACTGCCATGTTGGGCAGAGGCCCCAGTACCAAGAAGAGTGCACGTGAACACACACACAGTGTCATCCACCCATGTCACGAGTTTTGCCTGCCTGTGGCCAGAGGTGCAAGGCCCCAGAACCCAGAGTCCCACTGTACCTATCTCATTGAGACCTGGCAGATTTCATGGCCGCAGCAGGGCCTAGCATCCAGGCCTGCAGTGGTTCCCCCCCCCACACACAAGACAGACACAGCTGCACAAGCACCCATGTCACAAGTTTTGCCTGTCAACAGCCAGAGGTGCAAGGCCCCAGAACCCAAAGTCCCCCTGCACCTATCTCATTGAAACTTTGCAGGCTTTGTTGCTTCAGCAAGGGCTAGCAAGCCTGCAGTTTTGACCCTTCTGTGGCTTCACACATACAAGTGACAGAAGCCTTGCTCTCAAGACTTTGGGGCACAGTTTTTCCGAACCCCCATACATATCTCCTTGAAACTTGGCAGACATTATGCCCTCAGGAGGGGCTACCATTTCTGCAAGTTTCATCAAAACAAGGCCAGAAATGACTAAGTTATAGCCTGTTTTGTCCTTCCCCATTATATCCTATGGGCGAAATGTCGAAACAGGCTCGAAACGCAAAACTTTTTTAATGGAACGGTACAGAACAGCCATTTTGACTTGAAACAAGTCAATACAAAATGCTGTTCCATTAAACTGTTGAAACGCTGGCCAAAACAGAATGCTTCCATTTCGCACAGCCCTAACCAGTGCCACAATCAGTATAATAAAATTAATTCTAAGTACCAATACATTTTGGTATTTAATTTTAATTTTTTTTATAATGGAAAATCAGAGATACCCCTGCCCCCTAAGCTCACCAGGACACAAGTCTTAGTCCCTCACTCCCAAGCCACAGGCCCCCAGCCCTGCCACTGCCTCTCACTCCCCACCCACAGCCCCGCAGCTCTGCTGGAGGGGTCCCCCAGCTGCCAGGGTTAGGGGGCCAGGGACCTTGGTCTGCAGCCCCTGCCCCCCTGCAGCACCACCCAAGCTCCAGCTGCTGCCCATGGGATTGAGTGGTTGCTGTGGCAGAGCAGAGCCTGAAGCATGACTTCCCCCCACCCCATGGGTAGCACAGCTGAAGTGGAGCCCATAGCGGGGCAGGTGTGGGTGGAGACTGCTCACTACACGCTCAGGGCTCCCCACTCTACTGCCCTCCCCACAGGGCCTCTGTCACCCAGTATGCAGGACCCGGTGCAGCAAGGCAGGGTGGCGTGGGGCTTGCAGCAGCAAGGAGCTTCCCTGCCCAGCCCTGCCACAATGGGTCCTGCCTGCTGGGCTACAGAGACCCCAGGGTGGGGGGGTAGCAGGGGGGAGGCCAAGCCCACAGCAGCCAGCCCACACTTGCCCACCCTGCACACATATCTGGAGGGCACATGCAAAGGTTCCCTCCAAGCTGCACGCATGC